CCCTGTGGCCTGATTGCTCCAAATGCCCTCCCCTGCCAGGACCCGCCTCCTCCGGGGTCCGCCTCCTGTTTGCACTGGACCATCTTGTGACAGCCATCTTGTGAGCCACCTCGGCTATTATTAGCATAGATGTTGATTCTGTCCTGAGGTACTACCATTACCACGAGATTTGCATGATGCCTTGCAGTTTAAAATGTTCACGTGAGAATCCAAGATGGCTGCACAGGTAAACACCTAGCCGCAGTGCACACAACAATTTCAATAAAATACAACTAAAATATAAAATGGACATTACCCAGAACTACAGGAAAGTCGACTGACTGGAAATTCTACAACGAGAAGCAAGGAGAAAACCAGAAGGAAGAGCAGAGGAGCTGTAAAAGCCTAAGGTACGGAGACACGCGGCACGCGCGGAGAGGACGAAGCCAGAGAGGAGGGCGGCTGAGTGCCTGGCTGGCGTTCCCTAGCAGGAAGGAGATAAACGCTCTGACTGTGCTGGGCCCCAGTTCTGACTGCTCTGAACCCCAGTTCTAGGCCAGACCCCGGGGACCCAGGCTCACACAGTGGGAGCTGGGCTGTAAGGTGGAACCCCGGGGGAGCAGCGAAAGGGATGGTTGGCTGTGCCGAGGAATTGCCCTGGGGGGAAGGAGACAGGGGCTCCAGACTGCTCTGAACGCCACCTCCAACTCCACTTCCAACTGAACTGAACCCCAATACCGGGCTCATTGGGGGAGAGCATAGACTGTTTGGCAGCAGGTGAAAATCGAGGGCACCTTTCTCTCAGAGGCACTTGCAGCGAGTACTGAAGGACTGGGGATTACTGAGACCGCATAGGGCGGGGCTGACGGAAGCCAAGGCTGTAGGCTCCACCCTGAAACCCCGTCCCATCTGTAGCTGCGAAATGTGACAACGAAATAGATCACAAACGAAAGAAATGAAGGACAAAAAGCGACTGGATATAGAGTTCAAATCTACACTTATAAGGTTTTTCAAGAATTTTCTAGAAAAGATCGATAAGACCTATGAGGATATGAAAAGAGATCAACTAGAATTAATAAGAAATCAACAAGAAATGATAAGGGATCAACAAGAAATAAAGAATACATTCTCTGAAATAAAAAATATTATACAGAGTCCTAAAAACAGAATGGAAGATCACAAGAATCAGGTCAAAGATTTGGAACATAAAGAGCCAGAAGACACTCCTCCACAGAAGCTAGAAGGCAAGAGAATCCAGAAAATTGAAGATAATGTAAGAAACCTCTGGGACAACTTCAAACGAACCAACATCAGAATTATGGGGTTCCCAGAAGATGAGAGAGAGCAAGATACCGAAAACATACTGAAAGAAATTGTGACAGAAAACTTCCCCCACCTGGTGAAAGAATTAGACTTACAAGTCCAGGAAGTGCACAGAACTCCAAACAAAAGGAATCCAAAGAGGACCACACCAAGACAAATCATAATTAAAATTCCAAGAGCAAAAGACAAAGAGAGAATATTAAAAGCAGCAAGAGCAAAGAAGGTAGTTACCTATAAAGGAGCACCTATACGATTGTCAGCTGACTTCTCAACAGAAACCATGCAGGCCAGACGGGAATGACAAGAAATATTCAAGGTGATGAATAGTAAGAACCTACAGCCAAAGATAATCTATCCAGCAAAGCTATCACTCAGAATCGAAGGTCATATAAAGAGCTTCACTAATAAAAAAAAGCTAAAGGAGTTCATCAACACCAAACCAGAATTATATGAATTGCTGAAGGGGGTTCTTTCAGAAGAGAAAGTAAATAAAGATAAAAATTATGAACAACAAATTCGTAACTATTAACAAGTGAATCTAAAAACCAAGGAAATTAAAAAAAAAAATCTGATGAACAATATTAACTGGTGAATATAATAGAATCAGAGGTATGGAAGGGGAGTGAACTGACGATTCTTGGGGAAAAGGGGAGAGGGGGATGTGGGAAGAGACTGAACAAAAACTGTGCACCTATGGATGAGGACAATGGGGAGTGGGGAAAGGGCAGAGGGTGGGGTGGGAACCTGGTGGAGGAGAGCAATGGAGGGGGGTGGTAAGGAACATTTGTAATGATATGAACAATAAAAACTTATTTAAAAAATAAATAAATAAAATGTTCATGTGAATTTTGTAATTTGATCCACACACGGGGCAAACCTGGGAGACAATAACCACCCACCTTTGCATTCAGGGATCCTCTGTCAACTTTGTGTGAACATCAGCAGGTAAATGAACGGCTGTCCCTGTGCCTCTGCACCTTCGCTCTGTATAGTGTGTGTGTGTGTGTGTGTGTGTGTGTGTGTTAAGGTAACCAGACATCCCACTTTTGACGAGACAGTCCTGATTTTTAACAATTTGTCCCGCATTCCGCAGCGTTTTAAAAAAAAGTTTTTCCAAAAATCAAGACTTTTTTAAAAGGCCACAGGACGTGGGACAAATTGTTAAAAAATCGAGGCTGTCCCGCCAAAAGCAGGAAGTCTGGTCACCTTAGTGTGTGTGTGTGTGTGTGTGTGTGTGTGTGATGTGCCTGGTGAAGGGCCTAGCCGGCCTGTGTGGCTGTGAGTGGAGGCCACTGAGATGCAGGGGCTGGGGAGCTCTGCACTCTCCTCACCGCCTGTGCCCCAGGCAGGGCTGGCCCAGGAGCCCTTCCTCTGAGCCGTGCCTGCGTGTGAGGCTGCATCTGACAACCCGGTGCCCCCACACACCCACACACGCATACACACGCACATACACACCTATACACACGCTCACACACATACACACATACACACCTACACCCACACATACACACACATATATACACACCCACACACATACACACACATACACACATCCACATACATATACACACACCCACACACACATCCATACACATATACACACACCCACACACACACACACATCCACATACATATACACACACCCACACACACATCCATACACATATACACACACCCACACACACATCCATACACACATATACACACACCCACACACACATCCATACACACATATACACACACATCCATACACACACACACATACACACACATATATACACACCCACACACATACACACCCATACACACATCCACATACATATACACACCCACACACACATCCATACACACATATACACACACATCCATACACACATACACATACATGCACAAATACATGCACATATACACACATACATACACACACACCCTCGTCCCTCCAGGTGAGTCTCAGGTCACCTGGGCCCTTCCTGTAGGAACGCAGTAGTTTGTTCCCCCGTTAATGTCTCCTGTCAGGTTAAAGATTAGACTGGATGGAGCCCAGAAGGAAAGGGGGAGCGTCCCCCACCCCCCCTCCTCGGTGTGCCTGTGAGTGCTGGTTGTGTTTCCTGCGCTTTGCTGCAGGGCAGGTCTGCGTGCACCGCGTTGGCTCTTCTCCCTGAGCTTTGCTGTTCCCTCCGAGGTGTTGTCTTGTGGACCCGCAGGGCGCGTGCCCCTGGGTGCTGGTGCCAGCCTCTCTGGGTCAGGCAGCCAGACCCCCTCCCTCACCGTGTCCCGCTGCCTCCTCCTGACACGGACACGGCCTTCCTCAGCACCACCGTCCAGACATGTGCCCACCCCATACACAGCTCACACGCACAGCACACACAACTCACACTCACAGCTCACACAACTCACACTCACAGCTCACGCACTCACTCACACACAGTGTACACACAGCACACGCTCAACACACACTAACACACAGAGCTCACATTCACAGCTCACACAGCTCACACACACAGCACACATACAGCACACACTCAGCACACACACAGCACACATTAACACACAGAGCTCACACTCACAGCTCACTCAGTGTACACACAGCTCACACACTCAGCACAGAGCTCACTCACACATAGTGTACACACAGCTCACACACTCAGCACACACAACTCACACAGCTCACTCACACAGTGTACACACAGCTCACACACACAGCACACACAGAGCTCACACACACAGCTCACAGTGTACACACAGCTCACACACTCAGCACACACAACTCACACACAGTGTACACACAGCTCACACACACAGCACACACAGAGCTCACACACACAGCTCACAGTGTACACACAGCTCACACACTCAGCACACACAACTCACACACAGTGTACACACAGCTCACACACACAGCTCACTCACACACAATGTACACACAGCTCACACGCACAGCTCACTCAGTGTACACAGCTCACACTCAGCACACACAGAGCTCACACGCAGAGCTCACACACACACAGTGTACACACAGCTCACATGCAGAGCTCACTCACAGTGTACACACAGCTCATACCCACAGCTCGCACACACACAGCTCACACACACAGCTCACTCACAGTGTACACAGCTCACACACTCAGCACACACACAGCTCACACACACAGCTCACTCACACAGTGTACACACAGCTCACACGCACAGCGCACACACACAGTGTACACACAGCTCACTGGCGCAGCTCGCTCACACAGTGTACACACAGCTCACACACACAGCTCACTCACAGTGTACACACAGCTCACACGCACAGCTCACTCAGTGTACACAGCTCACACTCAGCACACACAGAGCTCACACTCATAGCTCACACACACACAGTGTACACACAGCTCACACACACAGCTCACTCACAGTGTACACACAGCTCACACGCACAGTGTGCACACACAGCTCACACACACAGCTCACACGCACAGCTCACTCAATGTACACAGCTCACACACTCAGCACACTCACAGCTCACACACTCAGCACACACACACAGCTCGCTCACACAGTGTACACACAGCTCACACGCACAGCTCACACGCACAGCTCGCTCACACAGTGTACACACAGCTCACACGCACAGCGCACACACCGGCGCAGCGGTGGATCGGTGGATCGGGCCAAGTCTCCGCCTGTGCACTGTAGGAATTTCCGCGCCGCGGCAGGGCGGGGGCGGGGAAGGGCCGCCCCGTCGGCGTCCGCCCCTCGGCGGTACTTAACGCGCCGCGGGCGCCGGGCTCCATCCCTCCTGCGCCCGCCGCCGCCGCCATGTGCCGCTCCCGCTGCTCCCTGCCCGCCCTGGCCGCCCTGCGCGCCCCGACCCCGGCGCCCTCCGCCAGCCCGCGGCCCCGGCGCGGCTCGGGGCCCGAAGTCTTCACCTTCGACCCGCTCCCGGAGCCGCCCGCGGCCCCCGCCCCGCGCCCCCGCGCCGCCCGCGGGCACAGGAAGCGCAGCCGCAGGGTCCTCTACCCGCCGGCGGTGAGTGGCGCCCGGGGACGGAGCGGCGGGAGCGGCGCGGCCCCGCTGCCGCCCCCCGGCTGACTGTCCCCCGCATCCCCCGCAGGTCCGCCGCCCGCCGCCCGCCGAGGACCCCGGCCCCGCCCGGAGGCTGCTGCTGCTGCTGCTGGCCGTGGTCTTCTGCCAGATCCTGGCGGCCGAAGACGGGGTGCCGGCGCCCCAGGCCGCGGAGGACGCCCCCGGCGCCGCGCCCCCCGCGCCCCCGGCCCTCGAGCCCCGCAACCGGACGGCCGAGCCCCCGGACTACGCTCTGGACCTCAGCGCTTGGCTCCAGCGCCCCCCGGCCTCCCTCTGACCGCGGCCCCCCACCCTCCCCCCACACACCCCTCCGGCCGGCGGAGGGCGGTTAGCCGGGCTCACGGCCCTTATTTATATTTATGTATTTATGTCCCCGGAGACAGGGCTCGGTATTTATTTAACTTATTCTGCGCGAGGCTGCCGCCGCGGCGCGGCCCTGTGAGCGGCGGGCGGCGGGCGGTATGTTCTGTGAACACAATAAACGGCTTTTCCTGTGGCGCCGGTCTGTCCGCGTGGTCTCTGTCCTCCGTCCGCGTGGTCTCCTCAAGCCGCGAGGCCCCCACTCCGGCCGCCGCGCGCCGGTCCCGACTCCCGGCCGCCGCGGGGGGTGCCCGTGACGGGGCCGCGTCACGCGCTGGGCGGGGGCGGGGGAGCGGGGGCCGCCGGGAACGGGGCGGGGCCGCCGGGGGCGGGGCAGGGGCTGCCGGGAACGGGGCGGGGCCGCCGGGGGCGGGGCGGAGGCTGGCTCCCAGGGGCGGCGGAGCTCTATCGACCAGGGAACCGCCTTGCTGCGGGCGGGGCCGGGCGGGCGAGCGGCCTCGGAGCTGCGGGTTTCGGGAAGGCCTGAGCCGCGGCGCCAGGGCCCGGGCCGAGGTGGGGGCGGGCGGGCTGACGGGAAACAGCCGCTCCCGCGAACACCTTCTCCGCCCTCCGCCAGCCGCACGGAGCCATGTTCTTCACCTGCGGCCCCAACGAGGCCATGGTGGTCTCCGGTAAGCGCCGTCCCCACCCCCGCCCGCGGCCCCGGAGCCCGGGCAGCCCTCCCCTCCCCCAGCCCCGCGGCGCCCGGGCTCCCGGCCCCCCAGCGCTGCTGCGACCCCCACCTGCCCCCGACTTCCGCGTGGGGGCAGCCCCCAAGTTCCCGAGGCCCCCGCGTCCCAGCGCCACGCCAGCTCACTGCCCGCCTTGCAGGCTTCTGCCGGAGCCCCCCGGTCATGGTGGCCGGTGGCCGCGTCTTCGTCCTGCCCTGCATCCAGCAGATCCAGAGGTGCGTACGGAGACCCCGCGGGCTGGCTCCTCTCCCCTCGCTCCTCACTGCCCCCTCCGTCTCCTCTAGGATCTCTCTCAACACCCTGACCCTCAACGTCAAGAGTGAGAAGGTTTACACGCGCCACGGGGTCCCCATCTCCGTCACCGGCATCGCCCAGGTGCGGCGTTGAGCTTCTCCCGGCCCAGCCCACCCCCTTGGTGTGCTCCTCTCCTCTCCCCGGGCCCTCCGCTCCAGACCGCACCTCCCTCCCACTGCCCGCAGGTGAAGATCCAGGGGCAGAACAAAGAGATGCTGGCGGCCGCCTGCCAGATGTTCCTGGGGAAGACGGAGGCCGAGATCGCCCACATCGCGCTGGAGACACTGGAGGGCCACCAGCGGGCCATCATGGCCCACATGACTGTGGAGGTGGGCGCGCAGGGCAACCCCTGGCCGGTTGGCAGGGGGGCCGGCCTGACCCGGAGCTCAGGCCCTCCTTCCCGTCCTGTCCTAGGAGATCTACAAGGACAGGCAGAAGTTCTCGGAGCAGGTGTTCAAGGTGGCCTCCTCGGACCTGGTGAATATGGGCATCAGTGTGGTCAGCTATACCCTGAAGGACATCCACGACGACCAGGTAGGCGGCCGGTGTCCTCTGGCCCCGCTGCTCCTCGCCCTCCGCGGGGCTCAGGGTCTGCTCTCTCCCACAGGACTACCTGCACTCCCTGGGGAAGGCTCGGACCGCCCAGGTCCAAAAGGATGCGCGGATTGGAGAAGCGGAGGCCAAGCGAGATGCTGGGATCCGGGTGAGGGGTCTGGTCCCCATGGGCACTTGAGCACTTGGGGGGTGCACAACGATGGGGCTGGCAGAGGAGAGAGGAGGCCAGGGTTGGGCAAAGGCAGGAGCCTGTGGGAAGCTGCCTCGCCCGGGGCCTCCCCACCTGCTGACTCCGCGCCCGTCTGCATGGACAGGAGGCCAAAGCCAAGCAGGAGAAAGTGTCTGCGCAGTACCTGAGTGAGATCGAGATGGCCAAGGCCCAGAGGGACTACGAGCTGAAAAAGGCCACCTACGACATTGAGGTCAACACCCGCCGTGCCCAGGCCGACCTGGCCTACCAGCTGCAGGTCAGCCGCCCCCCGGGCAGGCACCCCCCCTCTCCGCTCCCACTCTGTCACATTCTGACTCTGCTCCCCACTTCTGACCCAACTCATCCAGATGAGGGAAATTTAAAAGACCTAATGTTTCAGCTAAAAAGCAAAGAAAAGGTCGAGAGGTAGGCTGGTCACGGGTTTGGAGCAGGGCGTGCCTGTGCAGTGGCACCTGGATGGGGCGTACCGGAGCCCAGTCCAGCCCTGTCCGTCCAGCTGTGCACCTGCACCCTGAGGAAGCCGCACCTCTTCTTGTTGACAGGGCGGCCCCCGTGACCACAGGGCAGGCAGGAAACCCCGGAGCTGGGCTTCGGCCCCGCTGAGTGCGGCCCGGCCCAGCGTGGCGAGGAGGCACCCACGTGTGGCCCGCACTGAGGGCGTGCGAGGAGGCACCCGTGTCCTCGCGTGTGGCCCGCACTGAGGGCGTGCGAGGAGGCACCCGTGTCCTCGCGTGTGGCCTGCACTGAGGGCGTGTGAGGAGGCACCCGTGTCCTCGCGTGTGGCCCGCACTGAGGGCGTGCGAGGAGGCACCCGTGTCCTCACGTGTGGCCCGCACTGAGGACGTGCGAGGAGGTACGAGTCCTCACGTGTGGCCCGCACAGGGCGTGCGAGGAGGCACCCGCGTCCTCGCGTGTGGCCCGCACTGAGGGTGTGCGAGGAGACACCCGTGTCCTCACGTGTGGCCCGCACTGAGGGCGTGCGAGGAGGCACCCGTGTCCTCGCGTGTGGCCCGCACTGAGGGCGTGCGAGGAGGCACCCGTGTCCTCGCGTGTGGGCTCACTGGACATGCCTGCCCACTAAGGGTAGTCAGCCCCGCAGCGCCTGGGCCACTGCAGGCATGCAGGGAGGCAGCACCGAGCTGCCTGGCACACGCTCCCGGCTGAGGCTGAGCAGATGCTCGGGAAAGGCTCACCTATAAGCAGTCTGTCTTGGTGGTGTTTACTTCATTGTGCTCACCGCCGCACCGTCACCTCGCCGAGTTCTTTGTTGGTGGCCTCGCTGTGTAAATGGCCCCGGCGTAGTGCTGAGTGCCATCTAGTCTCCTCAGAGCGGGAGGCGGTGCAGGTGGAGGAAGCGGTGTTAGATGAGCTTCCTCAGGCACTCGTGCTGCTGTCGCCTGAAAGTTCGCTGGTGATGAACTTATTACACAAGACGGCTTTAAGTCCCGTGGGAACCTTTCCTGCCGGAGCCATGTGGGTATTTCTAACGTCATTCAGGGCCATACAGAATTATTAGCTTAAAAACTAGTCTGCTATATGTGGCCAAGCATTTATTTTTTGGTTATACCCCAGGATATTTTTCCCTTCCTTCATAATGAAGAGGTGATATGCAAATTAATCCTCACAAGATGGCTGCCTACTACCAGGCCGGCAAGGGGGGTTAGTGAGAGACGACCAAACGACTGAACAGCAGGCTGCATGGGGTGAACAGGCTGGCAAGGGGGGGCAGTTGGGGGTAACCAGGACAGCAGAGGGGGTGCAGTTGGGGGTAACCAGGACAGCAGGGGGGTAGTTGGGTGTGATTAGGCTAGCAGGAGGGGAGTGAGGGGTGACCAGGCTGGGGTGAGGGGCCAGTGAAGGGTAACCAGACAGGCAGGCAAGTGAGTGATTAGGAGCCAGCAGTCCAGGATTGTGAGAGTGATGTCCAACTGCCAGTTTAGGCCCAATCCCCGGCAGTCGGACATCCCCTGAAGGGTCCTGGATTGGAGAGGGTGCAGGCTGGGCTGGGGGGGATTCTCAAATTTTGTGCACCGGGCCTCTAGTTGATATATATTTTTTTAGAGTGAGTGCAAGGGAGGCGGGGTGAGAGAGAGAGAAACACCAATGTGAGAGAGCCACATCAATTGTTACCTCCCATCAGTGCTGGAGCCAGGAACCTGCAACACAGATACATGCCCTTGATCAGGATTCAAACCCAAAACCCTTTGGTTCAAAGGCCAGTGCTCAAACCACTGGGCAAGTCCGGCCAGGGCAATGGGCAATCTTTTTCTTTTCTTTTTTTTTTTTTCTTTTTTTTTAATAAACTTTATTGACCTTTTACAGAGAGGAAGGGAGAGGGTCAGAGAGTTAGAAACATCGATGAAAGAGACATCGATCAGTGCCTTCTGCACACTCCCTACTGGGGATGTGCCCACAACCAAGGTACATAACCCTTGACGGGAATCGAACCTAGGACCTTTCAGTCTGCAGACCGATGCTCTATCTACTGAGCCAAACCAGTTTCGGCCTATGAGCAATCATTTAATAACTCACCCTAATGCCCGGGCAGGGCCCTGCTTTAAACAGAAATAGGAAACGAGGTTATGTGTTGCCCTGCTGATAAAAATGTGTGGCCAGAGGCTCACACCACCTAGCGCCACATCTCCCCTGGAGCACAGTAAGCATTTTGTTCTCCTTTTTACATCAGAGAGTCCACTGCGCTTTGAGACCCTTTACCCAGAGGGTAGAACATGAGGAAGTCCGTTTATGCCTTGGTGCAGGATAAAAGCACAATAAACACCAAACGCCTTTGGTTGCGGAGCGAAGTCCCTGGTTTGTGCGTTCCTAGTTGAAGTGTGGTCTGCCTGCCAGCAGCAGCCACCCTGGAGTGCTTGTTAAAAATACAGTCTCAGGCCGGGACAGGTTTGGCTCAGTGGATAGAACGTCAGCCTGGGGACTGAAAGGTCCCGAGTTCGATTCCGGGCAAGGGCATGTAACTTGGTTGCGGGCACATCCCCAGTAGGGGGTGTGCAAGAGGCAGCTGATCGATGATTCTCTCTCATCGATGTTTCTAACTCTCTATCCTTCTCTCTTCCTCTCTGTAAAAAATCAATAAAACATATATTTTAAAAATACAAAGTCTCAGGCTCCAGCCCAGACTGAGTCAGAACCTGCATTTTAACAAAAGCCCTAGGTGATTCATGCATGCGTTGGAGTGTGAGAAGCAGTAACATAATGGAAACCACTAGCATGGGTAGGACTATGGATAAGGCCCTTAATGTGGCTTTTTTTCTTTTCTTTTCTTACAAATCAATGGATTGGGCTGTTTTGGGCTCTGTTTAACTTTAGTGAGTTTTTTCCTCATTTTGTGCCAGGCTTTGTGCTAGGGAATCAAATAATAATTCAGTGAACAAATACCTGTGAAGTGCCTATTCTGTGCCAGACATTGTTTTAGAGGCGAGGGTCTGAATGAGACAGAAGATTCCTGCTCTCAGGGTGACAGCAGACAGCGGTGGCTTGCTGTGTGAGGCCAGTGGTCAGAGAAGACTGCTGTAAGCAAATATTTGGATTAAAAGCTGAAGGGTCCAGCAATGTAGAGAGTTGTGGGCCAAGAAGTCTCTAAACCAGCGATGCTCAGACAACCTTTGTGCCGATGAAAGTGTTATGCATTTTGCTGTGACGCTGACACTGGAGATGTGGCTGGTGGAGTTGAGTCTGAGGAACTGCATTTTAAGCTCATTGTCTACTAATTTAAATCTAAATAGCCAGATGTGACTAGTGGCTGGGCAGGGGCCAGCAAGGCCCTGAGGTGGGAAGGAACTTGGCGTGTCCCAGAAACAGAGTGGGGGAGGGGGTTCTGATGGGTGTGGCTGGTGTGCTTGGGGAGAGGAGGCCAGGCCAGGTTCCAGAGGGCTCAGGGAGCCGCGATGGCAACTTAGGAGAGACTCCGAGCGCACTGGGAAGCTACTGGAGAACCCCAGGAGGGAGGGTTGTGCTCTGATTGATGTCTGTACAAGGACCAGACTGCTGCTGCTGTGGAGAACTGATGGGCAGAAGGAAGGCAGTAGGGAGACAAGCTTTTTCAAAGATGATGGATTGGATAAATGCAGCTAAAACCTCATTAAAACCACATGGCGTGATTTTGAGAAGAGGGAGGGAGGGGAGGAAGGAAGGGCCACCGTAGCATCGCTTTGGAAGCTGTAAGGCCATGGTAATTATTACATATGGCTGAGCTGGCACCATGTCTGAGGTCTGGGCCTGAAGACTGGGAAATCAGCAGAAATGGGAAGACCCCCTTCGCAGACTCCCTGCCTCTGGGTCCCTCTCCCAGTCTCTGCCCAGTAGACGTCTGGAGGGTTATCTGGTGAGAGTCAACCAGAGGGTGTGGCCTGGGGCGGCAGACACAGGGAGGACCTGGCACTCGGCAGAGGGCCACGAGCTGACTGTGGCCTGTCGCATGCCACATGCTGGCCTTTCCCTCCCCGGCCCCACTCGGAGCATGACCACTCCGGAGGGAGGGACCTACAGCTCCTGGCGCCGAGGCTCCAGCGTGTGGCCTGCCAGACTGCGGGAGCTCAGCCCACAGCCACCGCCCCCAGAGCCTCCTGCCAGGCCGGCCAGCCTCTGCGGGAGAGAGGGGGCCGCAGGGCCAAGTGCAGGAGCCGGGCTGTGTGGGAACAGAAAGCCTTTGGAAAAGGGAATGTGCTCAATGAGATAGAAGAATCCACTTCTAGGAAATTAGGATAGAGAACAAGAAGCCACGCTTAGAAATTAATAAACCCCAATAAATCCAGTAAAGGGGGGAAGTAATAAAATGGCATAAATTTAAAAATCTCCTTGGAAGAGAAATTCCAATAAAACTCCCCAGAAGAGCCGAAACCGGTTTGGCTCAGTGGATAGAGCATTGGCCTGCGGACTGGAAGGTCCCGGGTTCGATTCTGGTGAAGGGTATGTACCTTGGTTGCGGGCACATCCCCAGTAGGGAGTGTGCAGGAGGCAGCTGATCGATGATTCTCTCTCATCAATGTTTCTAACTCTATCCCTCTCTCTTCCTCTCTGTGAAAAATCAATAAAATATACTTTTTAAAAAAACTCCCCAGAAGAACAGAACAGAACAGATGGTGGAGGAAGGGCCAGTCCAGCAGCTCCCACAGACCAATGAAATGGGAGGAAATAGCCAAATGGAAAGTTTGCAAAATGTTTATCTGTTTTGAAGGGTGTGAGTTTCTAAATGAAACACAATTAATGAAAAACATCTACATTGAAACACATCACTGAAAGAAATTTCAGATCCCTCAGAACAAGGAAAGATCTAGAAGCTCCCAGAGAATTTTTCTCAAAAGGGTCAGGCACCAAAATGACTAGGTTTCTTAACAAGTTAGAAGGCCATGGAGCAATGCCTTCAAAATTCTGCTGAAAATGATTTCAGCATAGTAACTGCACTCAGGCAGAACGAAAGTCCCCGAGAAGGAAGGTCTCGGTGAACCTACTGCCCACACACTCGGTCCAAGGAAGCTGCTGGAGGTTGAGTCCTCCGAAGGGGCGGGGCTGGGTGGGGAGGGGGCCTTACGCCGCCAGAGAGCAGCAAGTCCAGTTTGGAAAAGGCTTGACACCTTCAGGGGGGCCAGTCCAGGCAGGGGCACTGCGCCATGATGGTGATGGGCTGGAGCAGCGAGACGGAAGGACACACCCTCCTTCCCTGCACCTCCTCGCCGACAGCGGGCAAGGGCGCTCTGCTCCCTGGGTGCCACGAGGAGTAAGAAAGGAACTCTGCCCAAACGAGGCGTTCTGTACGCAGGTTCCTGGAGGGCTTGTTGAGTGCCCTGGGAGGGTACCCGGGACACGGCACTGGTGGCCTGCAGGGGAGGGAACCAGGTCTTCGCCGAAAGCCTGGTTTCCCCTGATGGTGCACCGGTTGCAGAAATAAGAGGGAAAGGGCGCGGCGCGCCGCCCGGGAAGGAGGCCGGTGCCGTGGGGCAGCGGGCCAGTGGGTGGCTGCGCTGAGGCGCGGAGCCGGCCGGGGTGCCCTCATACCGCCGGGGCTCCCCGAGGGGCTGTGCCAGCGGCCTGGGAGCCCTGGTCCCGTGCGGGTCTGGGTCTGAGGAGGGTCCGGGTGCAGGCCTGGGGTCTGTGTAAGAAGCGGACTCCGCTGGCTGGCGGGCTGGCCGGGGACCGCTCCACCTGCCCTGCCCGGCCCGGGCCTCTGGGCTGGCCCTTGGCCTTTCAGCCCTGAGCGAGCGCCTCCTCCCAGGTGGCCAAAACGAAGCAGCAGATCGAGGAGCAGCGGGTGCAGGTGCAGGTGGTGGAGCGGGCGCAGCAGGTGGCCGTGCAGGAGCAGGAGATCGCCCGCCGCGAGAAGGAGCTGGAGGCCCGCGTGCGGAAGCCGGCCGAGGCCGAGCGCTACCGGCTGGAGCGCCTGGCGGAGGCCGAGAGGTAAACGCCTTCCCGGGCCCTCCGGCCTCCCCCGGCGGGCGGGGGGCGGGCGGGCGCCCAGAGAAAGAGCCGCCGTCTTCACCACCCGGACTCCTCCTGTGGAGCTCAGGTGGTCGGGCCTCCACCCTGCTGGGCCTCGGCTCCCCTGCACCCCTGTTTGCCCAGGTCCCAGCTGATCATGCAGGCAGAGGCCGAGGCGGAGGCCGTGAGGGTGAGTTGGGGCGTTGCTGCGGAGCTGGGCTTTCTCGCCCTCACCTGCTCCGATCGCATCACAGCGCCCTGTACACTCCCCAGATGCGGGGGGAGGCCGAGGCCTTCGCCATCGGGGCCCGGGCCCGGGCGGAGGCCGAGCAGATGGCCAAGAAGGCGGAAGCGTTCCAGCTGTACCAGGAGGCCGCTCAGCTGGACATGCTGCTGGAGAAGCTGCCCCAGGTCAGTTCAGCGGAACCGGTGTCACCAGAACCAGGCTCAGGGACCATGGGATAGGCTGGGAGTTAGAAGCCAGTGACCAGAGTGAAAAAGGATCATCTGTAAGACTGGCTCTTGAAAAACCCAGGGTCGCCAGCGTGGCTCAGTGGTGAGAGCATCCACCCGTGCACCCAAGGGTCGTGGGTTCAATTCCCGGTCAGGGGCACGCATCTGGGTTGCAGGTTTGGTCCCTGGCTATCAGGACACATGTGGGAGGCAGTTGGTCGAGATGTTTCTCTCCACCCTCCCTTCCACTCTAAAAATCAGTGGGAAAATACCCTGGGGTGAGGGTGAACTAAAAGCCCCGGGAAAGCCTTTCGGGAGAGTGTGATCGGGTCACAGGCGCTGAGTGGACCTCTCCCCCCAGGTGGCAGAGGAGATCAGTGGTCCCTTGACCTCTACCAAAAAGATCACGCTGGTGTCCAGCGGCAGTGGGGCCGTGGGGGCGGCCAAGGTGACGGGCGAAGTCCTGGACATCCTGAGCCACCTGCCCGAGAGCGTGGAGCGGCTCACGGGCATCAGCATCTCCCAGGTGAGGCGGGCCGGCGGGCGCCCTGCACGGGGCGTGTCCCGGCTGCTGTCCGTGCCCGTGCTCGGCTCCCACATAACCCTTTTCATACAAGGACGTTTACCTTCACTGCCCCTGGCACAAAGTAGAGACTGAACTCCATCGTGTGAGTAACGTGGCCCGCCACGCCCTGGGCGGCCAGCTTCCGCCCTGCCCTCCCCGGACGGAGCTGGGAGCGGGCTGTGGGCGTGAGGCCCTCACTGCTCCTCTCAGACCGTCGGCTCACCGCCTGCGGGCAGAGGTCCGAGCGCGGCCGACGCCTCCGGTGCCGTCTGGCTCCAGTGCGCCGTGACCACAGAGCCCCTCTGTCCGTGCCCCTCACAGCCCAGTGATGGCAGCTCCCCGCTGAGTGGTTACGGGGATAAAATGCGTGACATTGCAAAGTGTTTAGAACCCTGCCTGGTACGCAGTAGCTGCCGTGTAAGAGGGTCTCAGTGAAGGCATTCATACATAAGGGAAAGCATCGACCACGCCCGTGGCCTCAAGGCTGGCTCCGTGGAGCCTCCTTGAGGCCTGCAGTGGAGGGCTAGAGTCTGCACGCTGCTCTGGCCCCTCCCCGCTCAGGAATTTCCGCTGTGCACGATCCTGGGGCTGGGCTAGGGGTGAGAGAGGCCCAGGAAACACAGGCCCCTTACTGTGCCGTGTGCCAGAACTAATGCCAGTGCTACTGGTGTAAACTGTAATTGGGGAAAAAGAAAACACTAGAAAAATTCTGGGTGTGTGTTCCTCCCTGCAGCCAGTTCACCGGATGGAGCGTGGGGAAGTTCCCACATCTCCTCTCTCGTCTCTTTCACCAGGTGAACCACAAGCCTCTGCGAACAGCCTGAGCCTCGCCCTCGCCTGCCTGGCTCCTGGTTCAGGTGCCCGAGTGCCCCGTGTCGCATGCTTGTCAGAGGCCCCGGAGCACGTCCTGGGCGGGGCACCCCGCCGTCTCTCCTGCCAAAGAGCCGTGCCGTGCCCTGGAGGGGAGGCTGCCCACGGCCACCACCAAGACTGCCAGCCCCCAGGGTCCGATCATCCCGCTCCTCCCCGCTTGTTCAGTTTCCTAATTAAACTCGCCGAGCCTGTGTCAGATTGTTTTCTGATGGAGACGGGGGTGGCCGCAGGTTCTCGGTGTGCAAGGTACATTGCCGCTAAGACCCTTGTGAACAATTAAGGTGAAACAAAACTCAGTTGAAATGAACGTTAGAATACAGCTTGCTTCCAGTCGGCTTTTAGATGGGAGAAAGTTATTTGTACACCGAGGGGCTGTAGAATTAACTCCTCCCAAAAAAACCTTGGTTTAGTCAGGAAGCGTGTTGATCTGGGAAGAGTGTGAGAATTGCATTAGTCCCTGGACTTACTGAAAATTGGCCAAGGGAAGTGGACTTAGGTTTCAGGGTAACTTGGAGACTTACTTTGTGCAACTTAAAAACACGAGACAGTGCTCGGCGGGGGGCCCGGCGGTTCAGTGTCTCCATACACCCCAGGGCCCTTCCCCGGAGGAGGCCGAGCCGTCCCACTCTCACAGGATGTCCCCCCCCCTCCCTCTAGGAACCTATAAAAAAATCATTAAGAACACGATAGAGCAGCAGTGTTTAGGATGGGCCCTTGGGGGCCTCCCATGCTAGTGACCTTCATCTTAGGCTGAGAAAACCCACGTGGCTGCAGATTCCGCAGAGGAGTGCTGGCTGCTGTGCCAGGGCTGGCAGCAGTGCATGACTCCTCCGGAGCACGGGCTGCTAAGAGCAGACCTGGTTTGGGTCAGGGCATCGTCGGAACCTGTGTTTCTAGACTCCACGGTGCTGGTCTAGAAACCCTTCTGCTCCCTTGACTTCCATCCATTTCCATCCCAATTCCTGCACGCTGCCAAGCCTGCGCCGCCCATGCCCACCCTAGCTAGGACTGCTGGTGGGTGGGTACCAGGAATGAAGACCTGAGAGTCAATTAAGGGTTTTCTCATCCATTCAGAGAACAACACGTGTGTGAGTGAACCAGCCCACTAAAGGAGCAAGTCTTTTTTTTTTTTTTTTTTTTGCCCCCCCTTAAAGGAGCAAGCCTTGCAAATATTTTTTCAATTCCCATTTCCTTTTGGCTTTGGGGGCAATGTCATTTTCAACAGAAATTGTAGGAAGTTCAAAACCAAAGGTGTGTGTGGGTGCCCTGTCCCCTCCTGGGGAATGACTCCAACCTTGAGGCAACAGTAACGACAGTCCTCGGTGAGGAACAGTGACGGGGCCTTTCAGGAGACAGGGACCAAGGCGGGTCCTGCATCCAGCGGAAGTGACGCTGTGAGGTGAAGTGGAAAGGAAGGATCCTACTGGGTAGAGGGGCAGACCCTGCAAAGGAAACGGCTCAGGCCAAGCTGGGATACCGTTAACACCTCCCCCAAAGCTGAAGGTGGGCAGAACACCTGGGAACTAGGACTACCCGAATCCCGTTCTCCAAAATCGGTGAACCCCACCCATTCTTCAAAGGCACTTCTCCTGGCTGGTTAGCTGATTCTCCCCTCGCTACCATGAGGGCGTGGCATGTTTTCAGCACAGTTCTAAGTGGGATTGGGTGACATCCAGCTTTCTTGGAGAATTATGTTGAAAACGAAAATATTAACTGGGCCCTGGCTGGTGTGGCTGTTGGTTGAGCATCATCCCATGCATGAAAAGGTTGCTGGTTTGATTAGAGGTCAAGGGCACAAGCTCATTCCGTGATAGGGGGTATGCAGGAGTCAGCTGACCCATGTTGTGTCCTCAGTGTTTCTCTGAAAAACAATTTTTAAAACACACACACACACACACACACACACATATATATATATAAAAGCCTAAGTGACTTACAACTGATGGACTGAACACTATGACACACACTGACCAGCAGTGAGCAGACGCTCAACAGGAGCTGCCCCTGGTGGTCAGTGCAGTCCCTTCCCCCACCCCCACCTGCCAGGCCTAGGGATCCCTCCCATTTGTGGACCGGGCCTCTAGTGTATATATATAAAAATTTTAATGAATTGGAGGAAATAAGGCATAAGGAGGAAATAAAAGTTACCCAGCAGAGTGGCAGAAATATAGATTTCCCGGTATGGAACAAGAGAGGAGACATTCAAGAAACAACAAATATTTATTGAGCCCTATTATGTGCCAGGCATTGTTCTAGATCACCCCTAAAAGCAAAAAAAAAAAAAAAAAAAAAAAAAAAAAAGGCAAATTTTGAGGGAAAAAGGGCAGCAGAGGGAGCGGAGAAGCAGAGTGCAGGCGCCTCAGGCCTCCTCTTCGGCCTCCTCGCCGAAATCCTCCTCCTCCTCGGCCGTGGCGTCCTGGTACTGCTGGTACTCGGACACCAGGTCGTTCATGTTGCTCTCGGCCTCGGTGAACTCCATCTCGTCCATGCCCTCGCCCGTGTACCAGTGCAGGAAGGCCTTGCGCCGGAACATGGCGGTGAACTGCTCGGAGATGCGCTTGAACAGCTCCTGGATGGCCGTGCTGTTGCCGATGAAGGTGACCGCCATCTTCAGGCCCCGGGGAGGGATGTCGCACACGGCCGTCTTGACGTTGTTGGGGATCCACTCCACGAAGTAGCTGCTGTTCTTGTTCTGCACGTTGAGCATCTGCTCATCCACCTCCTTCATGGACATGCGCCCACGGAAGACAGCAGCCACAGTGAGGTAGCGGCCGTGGCGGGGGTCGCAGGCGGCCATCATGTTCTTGGCATCAAATACCTGCTGGGTGAGTTCGGGCACAGTGAGGGCCCGGTACTGCTGGCTGCCCCGGCTGGTGAGGGGGGCGAAGCCGGGCATGAAGAAGTGGAGGCGCGGGAAGGGCACCATGTTGACGGCCAGCTTGCGCAGGTCGGCATTGAGCTGGCCAGGGAAGCGGAGGCAGGTGGTGACCCCGCTCATGGTGGCCGACACCAGGTGGTTCAGGTCCCCGTAGGTGGGCGTGGTCAGCTTGAGGGTACGGAAGCAGATGTCGTAGAGGGCCTCGTTGTCGATGCAGTAGGTCTCATCGGTGTTCTCCACCAGCTGGTGGACCGAGAGGGTGGCGTTGTAGGGCTCCACCACCGTGTCCGACACCTTGGGCGAGGGCACCACGCTGAAGGTGTTCATGATGCGGTCGGGGTACTCCTCCCGGATCTTGCTAATAAGGAGGGTGCCCATCCCGGACCCAGTGCCCCCGCCCAGCGAGTGGGTCAGCTGGAAGCCCTGCAGGCAGTCGCAGCTCTCAGCCTCCTTCCGCACCACGTCCAGGACGGAGTCCACCAGCTCAGCGCCCTCCGTATAGTGGCCCTTGGCCCAGTTGTTCCCGGCCCCAGACTGACCTGGAATGGGGTCAGGAGGCAAGTCTGAACAGCGAAGAGCACTACACACACAGACACCGCATCCTCACCTCGCATCTTTTGGGATAATGCCTCTGGGTCTATTTTTTCCTCCCTCACCTGTGAGATGTGTCCCCAATAGTTTACCAAGTAAGGCAGCCACCGCCCTCCTCTGTTAGATTTCAGAACACGGCCCTGTAAAAGCTCCATGCACAATAATCATTCCTAACTCTAACTGCTCTCTTGTACCCAAATAAACGGGATGTGATGGTATCTACATAACTCACCAAAAACGAAGTTGTCTGGTCTGAAGATCTGGCCGAAAGGACCAGAGCGAACAGAGTCCATGGTACCTGGTTCTAGATCCACCAAGATAGCACGAGGGACGTATTTCCCACCTACAGGGAAGAAAGGGAGAGGAGTGAGCATTGGCAGAAGGCAAATAAAGTGGGATGACAGTCAAGGACCCAAACGTGCGATTCCAGGGGCTGCTACTACTAGGTGACAGCTGAGCTAGCCTTTGACCCCCACGGTGACAAATTAAACATAGGAAGGTTCAGTGGGAAAGGATAGATCCATCCAAAGGAGTTAGGGGGTTCTGTAGAAAAGGAAAGACCCCAGGAGTAGGAGATGGGCTGATCTTCCGCTCCCCCCTCACCTGTGGCTTCATTGTAATACACGGAGATGCGGTCCAGCTGCAGGTCGCTGTCCCCGTGGTAGGTGCCGGTGGGGTCGATGCCATGTTCATCACTGATCACCTCCCAGAACTGTCAGGAAAGAACGGTGAACCCTAAATTTTGCCCCTGCTCCCACCACTTTAATTCCAAACACACTGCAGGCATCCCCGCCACCTGCCTGCGCGCCCCTCCCTCTGACACTCCACCCACGGGAAAGCTACCTTGGGATGTGAAATGCTGTCAGCTGGGAGGGCCGGCGATGGCACACAGATGAGGTGGCTAACCTAACTAGGTAAGCTCCCCCTCGGCCCCCCGCAGGGCTGCAAGCCGCGCACAAAGGGCCAGAGAAACCAGCTGCCGCAGGGGCCGACCCCCAGCTCTCCACGCGGCTGTAGCGCTCGCCAAGCTGCTGACAAAGGGAGGCGTCACGCAAGGCGGGGCCGAGGCGGGAATTCGGCGCGCGAGGGGCGGGGCCTGCCCTGAGCTAGCGCGCCCCCTGGCGGCCCGCGGGGCAGTGCCCGCCCCTGAGCCCAGCCCTTTTGCTACAAAGTAGCGCCGATAGCGGCCGCACTTTCTCCCCCGCTACACAGTAGCGGCGCGCGAAAGAAAAGAAATGCCCCCTTAGCCTCGGAATTGTTCCTTTGGCGAACTTCCTCTTGCTTTAAATGAGGATTGTCTTCCTTTCTCCCACAATTTGGTCCTGAGGGGACCCTTTAAAGAAAAGGAAGCCCTCCTTTTCTCCTTATCAAGCCCTAAAGGGGTCTCTAAGCGGAGGGAAATAAAGTAAGCAAAATGAATCCAGCTCATATTAGCTTTCCATCCACGGGCCCGCCCCTCGACAATCAAAGGGGCGCGCCGAGACCCCTGGCTTCATGGAGGTAACGGGTCCCCAGCTTGGGAACCGGGGTCTGCAGTTGTCCCCCAGCCTCACCCCTTTCCCCGCGGCTTGGCCTCCGAAACCCCGCCAAGGGGGATGCACATGGAGGAACCGCGCCTCGCTTTGTCTCGGCAGTTTCCGCATCTCCTTCCCTCCTCGACCCCCGGACCGTTAGATTCCCTTTAGGTAAAACCTTACAGAACCTCGGTCTTCCAGTCCCCCAAACCTCAAGAGTGCTTTTGATAGCTTCCCCAAAATGATTCTGCCAAAAAGAAAAAAAATCCTCATTTTCCAAAAGCAAATTCTACTGCAAATGTGCACTATATATATAAAACTTCCTTTTGGCCAAGGTTGGCTAAGGCTGGAAACTGCAAACAGCCCACAACGGTTCTTCATAGCTTATCTGGATTCTTTAATTCTCAAAAAGAAATAAGAGTTAAAAGAGGTTTTAAAATCCTTACCTTGGCACCGATCTGGTTTCCGCACTGACCCGCCTGGATGTGCACGATTTCCCTCATGGTTCAAATTTAAAATTTTTGCCCGTTTCCAAAGTGTGTATGGGGCAAGAAAATGTCTAATCTTTCTTTCTCCGCTGCTGCTCAAGGCTGATGGAATGGGACGTGGCGGGAGGCTGGAGCAGCGAGGTCCGCACGCCGCGGCTGGCAGGCTGCGAGAGGCAGGAGAGCGAGCGCAGGGCGCGGGCGAGGGGGCGGGCGGGGCGCGCGTGCGCGGCGGGGCGGAGCCGCCGCCCGCTCGTCGAGACAAAGCCGCCGCGAGGCCGGCCCTGATTAGTCGACGCCGCCAGGCAGCCGACGTCCATTGGTCAGTGCCCGGGCGAACGAGCGCGGTCCTCTCTGGGAGTTGTAGTCCTCCATTGTTGTCCGCACTGCAAAGAGAAGGGGTGGATGGGTGGATACCGGTTTGGGGTGTTTTGGATTTGGGGAGTTTTATGAAAATGATCTTGCCAAGATGACTTTCCTCTAGGTCTGAGTTTTTTTTTTAATGCAAAAAGAGAGTCGTTTTCGGAACTGCCGGAGTTAGGACCCTTATGTGCTGGCGTTGGAAGGTGGGCGGCCACGCCCTGAACGCTCCGGGCTGCCGCAGCTCTGGGGGAGGCGGGACCCTGCTTAGCTCAGCGAAAACTGCGGAGCACGGCCCTCCGCTCTGCGCTCTAACAACCGGCCCTTCGTGACCACGGACACGAACACTACGCGCTGCTCCCCCAGATGCCTCCAGCGGGAGGGGGCTGCTTTCCTACTATTTCCTTCAGCGTTTTCTAACGATAACATTTAGAAAGAGAAACAAAATTGCAGCAAGGGCTTACAGGATAGAGATGAAATTGTCTGGAGGTATGTTCAAAGAAATATCCGATCTTGTAGGACATCTGGGCCTTAGAGCAGCGTTGAAGACTGTGGTTATGTCAAACATAGAACTATGGGGTGAGATGACTGCTAGAATTTCAAGGAGTGAAGAAAGGATAAAATAATTATCCTGCCTTTCGACACTTTGGAGTCTGGTTTCACTGACTTGGACCTTAGTCACTAGGTGGCTGGCTTTCAAGAGCCTCAGGATACACATTTCAAAATGGAATGAGGGTATTCATGGGAGGAAATTGGATGGGCTCAAATCTAAGTGCTTTTCCTCCCGGATTCACTCACTTGGTAGATTCTGAGTGTCCCCAAGCCAGGAGTGAGGGATACAAAAATGGTTATGAATTAGCCTCCAGGACCTTGCAATTGGGTGAAAAATGGACAAAGAATAGAGTGTAGTAAGCACTATAATAGAGGACGTGATATCAAGGTTATCGTTGTTAGTTCTTGAAGTCAATACACATCTCAGTCATAAATAAAAGAACATCCAATTGTGTAAGAAGACCCCTCTACCCATTTAAAATAGAATGTTTTGGGGCATAACCACAATGAAAGTAGTTCTTTTGTGGCAGTGAACAGCTTAGAATTTAGAATCAAAGGACTTGTTTTAATTACTCCACCTTACATGAGCGGTAGAAACCTAGCCAAGTCATTTAATTTAGCAGAATTCAATTCCCTCTGTAAAATCTACTTCTGTTAGTTGTGATCAGAATTAAGTGAGATGGCTAATGAAAAAGGACTTTCTACATTATACACATGTCAAACTGCTTGTCTTCTTGCTTGTCTTAGTATGAATAATGAAATAAATTATTTTATCCTTTCTTCACTCCTTGAAGTACCTCGGTCAGCCTTGAGACGGTTAGCAAAAAGGATTCCCTCTGTGGGCCTAGGGAACTTTGCTTTAGGTAAACGATCTCAAAATATCCACCAGGGCTATATTCTCAGAGAGGAAAAGACCTGACTTCTACACAAACAAATCAAAAGGAAATAAACTTCCATTGCAGTGAGACGTCCTCAAGCGCCACGCCTGCGGGCTGTTCTCCAAACTGCAGCCTCCGGCCACGACAGCAACTCATTTCCATTTCCATGAGTCAGCACCACCAGGTCTGGGAGGACCTTGGAAGGACGCTCTGGCCGCACCAGGAGCCCCTCTAGGCGCCTCCCGCAGCGAGACTCTGTGATCGTAGTTTGGGTGTCTGCGCGGGAATGGGCGGCGGGCGGTGACGCGGCCGGGGCTGGGTCCTGGACGTGCCCAATCGAGGCGCGCTATTGCGGGCGCGCGGCGGCCTCGCCTCTCTCAGCGGGGAGGGGCGGGGCCTCCACCTGGGCTGCGTCAATCGGCTCGCAGCGGGCTGTGAAAGACAGCGGCTGGAACCAATCAGCGGGCCGGATCGGCTCGGCGGGAGCGCTCGCGCCGAGGCGTCGCGGCCGTTACTGGTGGCGCGCGCGGGTCTCACCGCGGGTGAGTTCTGGGGGCCGAGCCCGCCCCTGCCAGGTGCCATCTTGTTTCTCCGGGGGCGGGGGGGCGTGCTGTGGTGCGACTGGGCGGAGGATACTTCGGAGCCGCTTGTGGGGTTACAATACTCATCCTTGCCCGACGCCCCGCCCCGAGCTGGGGTGCGGGCGCCGGGAGACGGGCCGGAGGGCGGCCTGAGGTGGGAGCCTGGTCCCGCTGCTTCTCCCTAGGGGGCATCTTTCTCGTCCTGCTCTGAGGTCCCATCTCCTCCCTCTGGTTCCTGCGTCGGCGGAGCCGGCCAGGCGCCTCCAGGAGGCAGGGCTAGCTGCTCTTTGGCTCTGAGTGCCTGGCACGTGGGGCGGCACCGGGTGCGCGCGAGTCCCGGCGGGCGAAGATGACGGACCCTCGGGGGAGAGACACTGCTGGCGCCATCCTCGGGGGTGCAGGCGGCAGTGGCCACAATGTGGTGAGGAGGGCGGAGCGCCGGCCGGAGGGCAGCTGGGAAGGCGGCGCCGGACGGAAGGGAGGGGTAGGCGCCGGCCCCGGAGGCGAGCAGAGGACGGTGGGACCGCGCAGGGACGGGGAGCCGCACGGGGATGGGGCGCCGCAGGAGCGGGTTTAGATCATGTTGGCTCTCGCCAAGGAGTTTGAGTTTTTATCCTGTGGACATGGAAAACCATGAAAGAATATTAAACCGAGGAGAGATTATCTGGATGATCTTAGGCAAGTTCCTTACCCATCTGTGTTCCAGCTTTTTTCCTTTTATAGGCAGGGTGGAAGGAGGGAGGAGGGTGAGAGAGAGACATGGACTGGTTGCCCCGCTGTGTCTCTCCACATACACACACACACACAATTTGGGCCAGTATCAAACCAGAGTACCTTTGGTCTGTGGGCCAATGCTCTAACCTAGGGGTGTCGAACTCAATCAGAGAAGGGGCCAAAATCTAAAATCCAGCCTAAATCGCTGGCCGAATGGTTTACTGAACAGTCAAACTGTCATTGTGATGGAAACGCAGCGGAGTGCAGTGATGACAGCGCGGTGCGGGCCACATTGCAAGGCCTGGCGGGACGGATTTGGCCCGCGGGCTTTGTGTTTGACACATGTGCTCTAACCACTGAACAAATTAGCCAGGGCTCTATCTTCTCATTGTATTTTTTAAAATTGATTTGAGAGAGAAACATCAGCTTGTTCCATTTACTTATGCATTCATTGGTTGATTCTTGTTTGTGGCCTGGCGAGGGATTGAACTCAAAACCTTGGCATATCAGGATGATGCTCCAACCAACTGAGCCACCACCCCACCAGGGCTGCGTTGCATTTCTTTATCAAATAGGCCATAATAAACGTCGCCAAAACCGGTTTGGCTCAGTGGAAGAGCGTCAGCCTGCGGACTGAAAGGTCCGGGGTTTGATTCCGGTCAGGGGCATGTACCTTGATTGTGGGCACATCCTAGTGGGGGGTGTGCAAGAGGCAGCTGATCGATGATTCTCTCTCATGGATGTTTCTAACTCTCTATCCCTCTCTCTTCCTCTCTGTAAAAAAATCAATAAAATATATTTTTTAAAGTAACAATAATAATAAACGTCACAGGATTCTTTAGACAATTAAATGAGTTTGTACAGGCTAGTCACCTGAGGTAATCTGCTAGAGTGTAAAAAGCACGGGCATTGCAGCCAGACGCATTCGTAGTCCTGCCCTTCACACCACCTGCTGTGTTATCCTGAGCAAATGATTCAGTATTTTTAGCCTTGGTTTCCTGAAGGCCTGCCTCACATCACATGGTTACTATGCCTGACACATAACAATGCCCAACATGTAGTTGATGCTTGGCAAAAGTTAACTCCCTGAAAATGGTGGTTTTCAAACTGAGTTGCAACCCAATAGTGGATATTGAAGTCAATTTAGTGGATTGCAAATCAGCATTAAAAAAAAAAAAAAAAGAAATGAAAACTATTACATATAGCAAAGCTGATCATTGTTTCTCAAAACACTTGTCTATATAGCCGAAACCGGTTTGGCTCAGTGGTAGGGCGTCAGTCTGCGGAGTGAAAGGTTCCAGGTTCGATTTCGGTCAGGGGCATGTACGCTGGTTGTGGGCACATCCCCAGTAGGGGGTGTGCAAGAGGCAGCTGGTCGGTGTTTCTCTCTCATCGACGTTTCTAGCTCTCTATCTCTCTCCCTCTCTGTAAAAAATCAATAAAATATATTTGAAAACAAACAAAACACTTGTCTATATAAATGTGTGTATTTGTATATACACATATCCTCTCAGCATTGATTTTTTGACTTTACAATATTACATAAATGCTATACATAATATATTACATTAGCTACTCAACCGTCTTATAAAATAGGCTTTGTGTTAGATAATTTTGCTCAACTGTAGGCTAATGTAAGTGTTCCTAGCACATTTAAGGTAGGCTGTGCTATGGTATATTAAATGCATTCTCATGATATTTTCCATTTATGATAGATTTGTCAGAATGTAACTACATTATAAGTTGAGGAACATTTACTTGGGGCCTTATGATTTTTTTTTTTTATTCCGTGTCCTGGTCAAAAATATTTTTTTCAATGCTTTAGAAGGATAACAACAGAATGCTTGACATAGAGAACCATCAAACTGAATAAATACCCAGGTTTACTCCCTAGTTGTGAGTCTCCTCTCTGAGACTTGTGAACCAATGATAGAGATGATAATGTGTTTCCTTCCCAGGTCATGGAGGACACTCAGGCTGTTAACTGGGAGGTTGAAGAAGAAGAGGAGACAGAGAGACCCAGTGACTCCTTGAGGTGTAATTTGGAGCCCCTAGGGCGACTGCATATCTTCAGTAGTGCCCACGGACCAGAAAAAGGTCAGGAGATATTGATGCTGGAGTACTATTGTAGGCCTCTTATTTTTGTGGGGAGGTAGTTAGAGGATTGTAAGAAACTTATGTACATATTTTGTTCATCTTCACTTGAAAATATTTTCTCCATTTATCTTTTAATAATTTTTTTAAAATGTTTTTATTGCCGAAACCGGTTTGGCTCAGTGGATAGAGCGTCGGCCTGCGGACTGAAAGGTCCCAGGTTCGATTCCGGTCAAGGGCATGTACCTTGGTTGTAGGCACATCCCCAGTGCAGGAGGCAGCTGATCGATGTTTCTAACTCTCTATCCCTCTCCCTCTCTGTAAAGAATCAATAAAATATATAATTAAAAAAAATGTTTTTATTGACTTTAGAGGGAGGCAGAGGGAGAGAGAGAAATATCAATGACAAGAGAGGATCATCAAACAGCTGCCTCCTGCATGCCCCTTACCTGGGATCAAGCCCGAAACCCAGGCATGTTCTCCACTGGGAATGGAACCATGACCTCCTGGTTCGTAGGTTGATGCTCAACCACTGAGCAATACCAGCCAGGTTCCATTGATTTTTAGAGAGAGAAGGAGGGGAGGAGAGAAGGAAAGAGCAACATTCATGTGAGAGAGACACATTGATATGAGAGAGAGACATCAGTTGGTTGCCTCTGACCTGTGCCCTGACATCAAACCTGCAACCCTGGTACATGCCCTTCATGGAACCAAACCCACAACCTTTTGTGCATAGGCCAGCACTCCTAACCACTGAGATACACCAGCCAGGGCAAAACTTGTTTTCAAGGAGATCTGAAAACTGTTTTACTGGGAATGGAGAAGAGGGGGCTGATTGATTTGTTTCTGGCAAGAGCTCTGGTCTCAGGATGATTTTACTGTACACTTAAAAATGCTTACCATGCTATATTTTATGTGTATTTTATCACAAATCCAGTATGGATGGGTGGAGTGTTGACTATGAATAATGTATTGCATATAATCTTCAATACTTAGATGTCCTAGGGCCTTTTATTTTTCTGTTGTATGTGGTGACCTCGAATGAGTAGTCGGGTACTTAACCAGAAATTTTTCCAATAGCAGGCCAGGAATGTGGCCTTGGAATCTACCTACCCCTCTCATTCTTAGATTTCCCACTCTACCTCGGGAAAAATGTGATAGGCCGAATGCCTGATTGCTCTGTGGCCCTGCCCTTTCCATCCATCTCCAAGCAACACGCAGTGATTGAAATCTTGGCCTGGGACAAGGCACCTGTCCTCTGGGATTGTGGGAGTCTCAATGGTACGCAAATCCTGAGGCCTCCTAAGTTCCTGAGCCCTGGGGTGAATCATCGTCTGAGGGACCAGGAGTTGGTTGTCTTTGCTGACTTGCCCTGCCAGTACCATCGCCTGGATGTCTCTCTGCCCTTTTTCTCCCGGGGCCCCCTAACTGTAGAGGAGACACCCAGGGTACAGAGAGGAACTCAACCCTGGGGGGTCCTATTGGCTGAGGACTCAGAAGAGGAAGTAGGTAAGTGTATGTGTTGGGAGGGTGGGCAAGGAGACTGGGATGGTAAATGTGAAACTGTCACCTTCTTTCTGCTCTTGGCAGATCCTCTTTCTGAAAGGTATGTGGTGAATGAACCAAGGACCATGTCCTCCCTTTTGGCAACAGTCGTTCCAGAGAGGTGAGTGTTGAGGGCCAGACACCTGAGTCTTCAGAAAGAGAAGGAACCTGGGACTGAAGGATCCATCTGTAAGAGAGAATCATCATGGAAATGAGGGTTGGGGAGCTACACATACTCTTTCATTAACTGAGTTTACACTGAGAACCTTTGATGTTCCAAGTGGAGAACTAATTGCTGGAGATAGAAAAACAAATACTACCTTGTTTCTGCTCTCCAGGAGCTCATAGTTGAATCAGGTATCCCTTCCTAGGAAATGATTCTATAAACTCTTCTCTTCCCTGTATAGTGATGAAGAGGGACCTTCTGCCCCAGATGGCCCTGGACCACCTTATGCCTTCAACTTTGACAGCGACACAGATGAGGAAGAAAGGCAGCAACCAGCAACAGGGTGGGCCTCCTCAGCTGCCACAAGAGATGCTACTGCAGAGACAGAACAGCCTAAGGCAGTCAGAACAGAAATCCAGGTTGAAAAGAATCAGTCTTTGGGACAGGAGAGCAATAGTGACATCAGAGTCAAGAGAGATGCAAGCAATGGGGTGATTCTGGAGAGGGGCCAGCCTGTTGGGGAGGACAGTGAGACAGATGTGGATGATGAGATCAGGCCTCCAGGAAAGCCAGCTGAGGGTCATCTGGAAAGGGCCCAGCCTTCTGGCTTCATAGACAGTGATACTGACGTGGAAGAAGAGGGGATTCCCACAACCCCAGCTGTGGTGCCCCTAAAAAGAAGGCAGATCTTCCACGGAGTTAATGCAGAGAATTCTGGGGGGCCTGACCTGGCACATCTTCATGAGAGTCCGGCTGGCAATGAGACAGATGTGGAGGAGGCTGAGGCCCCACCCACAGTCCCTCTGGAGCAAAGCCAAACCTCCATGGTGAGCCACAGCAACGTAGATGACGAGGAAGGAGTGTCAGCAGCACTCACTTTGGCATCTCTGGTGGAGAGCCGAGCCACTGGCTGGAACAGAGATAAAAATGTGGAAGAGGACAGAGCCCAACCTCCGGCTTTTCTTGACCAGAGCCAAACCTCTGCTGGGAGAGACAGTGGCACAGACATAGAGGTGGAGGGGTTCCCAGTGGAAAAGAGAGAATATGTCCCCAAGAGTCACACAGACAAAGCTCAGACAGAAAAGAACCAATCTCCTTTTGGGGACGGTGACAGAGAAGTGGAAGAAGATAAGAGCTCATCTGGAGTCCTCCTGGAGAGAAGTCAGGCCTCTGCCACAGTAGGCATCCGCACACAAGTGGAAGAGGATGAGGTGCCTCTGGCATGCACAAATCCAACAAATGTGGAAGCAGAAGGGGGCCCAGCAAAGCTGCCTGCCGTGCGCCTAGAGGAAGCCCCGCCTCCTCCAGGTGGGTGCTGTGGAACAGATGCTGAGGAGGGTGCGTCCTGAGCAGCCTCCGGAGTGGCAGGTGTAAGGAAAAAGAGGATGCTGGGACAGAGTGGGTGGTTCCTATCCTTTAGCAGGAGAGAGCTTTTGAGGCAGCAGCCCAGGGTGGGTCACGTTTGGCACAAGTGGGGCAGGACCATCTCCTTGTCTCAAGGGAGAACCTAACAGATCTCTTGGTAGACACAGGTACTGCAGGGGAACCTACCCAGGCACAGAGAAAGGAAGCCCCGACCCCCAGAGAAAGTGGGGGAGAACCACATGTGGACATGACCAAGAACTCTGGACACAGCCATGATGGTAAGTGCTGGCCTGCTCTCCGGGCTTGATCTTTGAGAGAAAGAAAACTTACAGGGAGATTTAATCCGTTCAAGCTGCTGTAACAAAATGCGAGAGTGGATGGCTTGTAACATGCCTCACAGTTCTAAAGGCACCAGCAGATTTAGTGTGTGCTGCGGGCTTGCTTCCTTGTTCATAGGTGGCCCACTTTTCACCATGTCCTTAACTGGCAGAAGAGCACCAGGGTGCCCTTTGGGGTCTCTTCTAAGGGCACTAATCTCATTCATGGGGGCTCCACTCTGAGGACCTAGTCACTTCCCAAGGCCCCTGCCTTCTAGTACTATCTCATGGGGATATTGAGACAAACTCTACTAGGGTGAGAGCTGCTTTCTCTACCTCCCCCCAAGCTGGGAAAGCAGGCTCCACCCACATTAGAAATAAGAATGTGGGGTGGACTCTTCCCAAAAGTGGCCAAATGTGACCTCTGAAAATGGCTCACTGTTCAAAAAAACCCACAAAATCATGTAAATCAAGAGGTTTAAATCTCGTGTTTACTTTAAGAACACTTGTGAAACTGCCCAGGCCATCAGGGTATACGTGTCTAAAAAGTCACCAAGTATCTGAGGATATCACTTCGCAGAAGCAATAGGTGTCATTCCATTGTTACAATACCTACCTGGGCTGGTAGGTATGCCCAGGCCAAACAGTGGTGCTGGACACAGAGTCAGTGGCCAAAAAGAGCGCTGAACTTTTGTTACCCATGCTTAAAATGCAGAGAGCTTAGCTTAAGGGTTTAGATGTAGAGTCTCTGGTCACTAAGCACATCCAAGTGAATAAAGTCCCCAAGATGTGGCATAGAATTTGCAGAGCTCATGTTAGATTACCCCCCACATGAGCTCTCCCTGCCACCTGGAGGTGACTGTACTGAAAAGGACCAGATTGTTCCTAAACCTGAAAAGGAGATTGCACAGAAGAAAAAGATGTCCCAGAAGAAAGTGAAGAAACAAAAATATAAGACCCGAGAGTAAATTCAGCAGAAAATAAGTACTAATGAAAGTTTTGGTGTTGTGTGTGTGTTAGTTGAAGAATATGGATCATAGCCAGTTTGGCTCAGTAGCTAGAGTGTCAGCCTGTGGATTGAAGGGTCCTTGATTTGATTCCAATCAAGGGCATGTACTTAAGTTGCAGGCTAAATCTCCTGCCCTGGTTAGAGCTTATGTGGGAGGCAACCAATCAATGTGTCTCTCTTACTTTGATGTTTCTGTCTCTCCCTCTCCCTTCCACTCTCTCTAAAAATCAATGGAGAGCTGAAACCGGTTTGGCTCAGTGGATAGAGCATCGGCCTGCGGACTCAAAGGTCCCGGGTTCGATTCAGGTCAAGGCATGTACCTTGGTTGCGGGCACATCCCCGGTGGGGAGTGTGCAGGAGGCAGCTGATTGGTGTTTCTCTGTCATCGATGTTTCTGACTTTCTATGTCTCTCCCTTCCTCTCTGTAAAAAATCAATAAAATATATTTTAAAAAATAAATAAATAAAAATTAATAGAAAAATATCCTTGGATGAGGATTAACAAAAAAAGAAAGAAAAAAAAAGTGGGGTGGGACATAGACATTCAGTCTGTTGCGTAGGGATTTGGGTTGGGGAGAGAATTGTAGAGAAAAAGTAAGACATCATGGGTCAGATAGAATTTTTTATTCTGTATTTCTCCACCACCAGATTCTGAAGATCTAGACCAACAAGCAACCCAGTGCTTTGTGGAGAAGGAGAGTCAGAGCCTGGAAGGTGAGGGCATTTGTGTCATGGGGGGCTGTACATCAGGAGCAGGGAGATTACACTGGTGGTCCGTTAGGGTGTGCGGCCGGCACAGGCCAGGCAGGAGACTGAGAATGGCCTGGGGATATGCGGAGGATCTGTGCTTAGGACACCTTTTCCTGTGCAGTAGTCCCGAGCATGGGGGATGAGCCCACCCAGGCCTTCCTGTGTACTCCACCCCAAGAGCCTGGCCCTTCCCATTGCAGCTTCCAGGCCTCAGGCATAAGAAACTCACTTCCTCTGCCCCTAACTTTGCCTCCTGTTTTCTCCCTGTACATGTTTCTTTCATATTTCACTATGTTGTTGATGTTTCTCCATCTTATTAGGGAAAAAGGGTCCTATTCAGTTAGACCTATAGAGCAACTTGGCTAGCATAACTTTTACACTTGATCTTAGCAAAAGACCAAACTAGAAAACTAAAGCGTTCTGTAGCATAGTTTTTAAGAGGCTGCTGTGAGAGCTTGTACATGAAGTTATGGTCTCACTTTTTGAAACAAGCATTAAAGATTACAACTATCCTCCTTACTCGTAGCTTTTTTAAAATAGCCCATATAGATTGAATCTGACTCTGACTCCCTCTGACTACTTCCAGGTGCCCTGGATGAGCCTTGGGAAGTCTTGGCTACACAGCCATTCTGTCTAAGAGAATCTGAGGCCTCTGAGACCCAGCCCATCGCTTCCCACCTTGAGACCCATGGATCTTGCCCCTTTTCACCCAGGCCAACATCTCAAGACCAGCATCTGGAAAGTCCAGTTCGCGCAGAGCCATTGGGGATCCAAGGTGGAGGGATGCAGACTGCGGAGAAAGGCATGGATACACCAAGAGAAGCAGCAGGGAGGGTGACCCCGGAGAGAGGACCATTAGAGAGGGAAACTAAACTGCCACCAGAAGGATGAAAAGAAGAAGAATTAACCAGGGTGATGAAGGACAGGGAACAAAAGGTGGTAGCTAGGCATTCAGAGACAGGAGTCCCCTAAAACTGTGGGAAGGGCAAGTATGGAAAGGGATAGGGAGAGCTTGAAGATAGAAATGGAGACACCCAAGGATCTACACAAGCTGGGAAAGCAGGCTCTTACAAGAGAAGTATTTGAGAAGGAAGCTGAGAAACCAGCACCAGGGAGAGATTGTGAGCCAGGTAGGTTAGAAGTCAACATACCCAAAGTAATACTGGAAGGAGGTGCACAAAGGGAGCCAGGACCAGAAAGGGCAGGCCTCCAGTTCAACACTGGACCCTGAAGAAGGGGCAGGGGACCTTGTGGGCTAGCATTAGCCCTGATAGCGTCTAGGAGCCAGTCAGGTGGAGGATGGTAAGTCCCAGGAGGCAGAGAGGTAAGTGAAGGCTGAGGGTGTAAGACCCAGGTGTTAACAAAGCCTCATGATAACCCCTAAGTAACTGCCTGCGTGGACTCAGCCACATTGTCTGTACTTTCTGTCTAGGCCTCCTGAATTGCAAGATGTCACCTGCTGAGAAGGCTTCTAGGGTGAGTGCTGCTTTTTCTACCTCCGCTCACTGCGCCTTCCCGGCCTTGCTTCACCTGCTCTTCCCCGTCTTCTCCATGATCATTCCCACCACCCTTCAGTTGGCTTCTGGCCCTTAATGTTGGCACACATTGTTTTCCATCTCTCTGTTCCCAGCTGTTTCCCTCTACCTGACTCGGAAAGAACATTCCTTTCTTCATGTCCCTTCCCTCTTTTCCCACCCACCCACCATCCATATATTGATAACACTGTCCTGGCCTTGTGGGGAGAGGTCTGGGGGAGAAGTCCCAGTTTAATGGGAGATAGTCAGAGACAGAAAGAGAAATGTAGTGAGCATACTTCCACTGTAACAAGTATCGAGAACAGTGTCCAGTCCTGTCTTTCCTCCTTCTGCCTCTCCCTCCCTCACTTGCTCTATTTCTCCCCAGGGTGATCCAGGATCCCTAGATGTTGGTCTGCCTCCAGCAGTCCCTGAAGCCTCTGCCCCAGTCCAAAACCCCCTCATCCCTCAGAGCCAAAAACATCTTGCTTCTCAGCCCCTCTTTGCTCCATCTCCACCTTCTTTAGAGTCCCCCATTCCCAGCTCCAGGCAAAATGGGAGTCAGGAAGCTCTGGAGAATCCCTTGTCCTCAAAGCTGGACCCTCTTCATGCAAAAGTCAAATGCAGGTCCCAGGGTTGTTCCAGGATGACACCCTCTCCAGCTTCTTCTATAGCCCCTGAGGTCTACCCTCTCACCTCCAGAGAGCAGCCCGTCACCCCTGCACCCACACCTCGGGCCACTCGGGGCAGGACACAGAGGGCCTCTGTCAAGACCCCTGAACCGACTGTCCCCACGGCCCCTGACCTTGAACCTCCGGCCCCTGCAGACCAGCCTGTCACCCCTGCACCCACACCTCGGGCCACTCGGGGCAGGACACAGAGGGCCTCTGTCAAGACCCCTGAACCGACTGTCCCCACGGCCCCTGGCCTTGAACCTCCGGCCCCTGCAGAGCAGCCCGTCACCCCTGCACCCACACCTCGGGCCACTCGGGGCAGGACACAGAGGGCCTCTGTCAAGACCCCTGAACCGACTATCGCCACAGCCCCTGACCTTGAACCTCCAGCCCCTACGGACCAGCCTGTCACCCCTGCACCCACACCTCGGGCCACTCGGGGAAGGACACAGAGGGCCTCTGTCAAGACCCCTGAACCGACTGTCCCCACAGCCCCTGACCTTGAACCTCCGGCCCCTGCAGAGCAGCCCGTCACCCCTGCACCCACACCTCGGGCCACTCGGGGCAGGACACACAGGGCCTCTGTCAAGACCCCTGAACTGACTGTCCCCACAGCCCCTGGCCTTGAACCTCCAGCCCCTATGGACCAGCCTGTCACCCCCAAGGCCATAGCTCAGGGTGGTCAAAGCAGGACACTGAGGTCTACAAGAAGTACTGTGCCAGTTCCTACCGCTCCTGAATTCCAGTCTCCTTTCCCCACAGACCAGCCTATTCCCCCAGAGGCCATCCCTCAACCCAATTGTAGCAGGAGGCCAAGGGTTGCGAGGCAGCCCCTCGCAGCTCCCATTGTCTGTGAACCCTGCTCTGCACCCCTTGAACCTAATGCCTGGTCCTCACGGAGCCAAAGGCGAGGAGTGATGAGAGCAACCAAGTCCCTTAAGACCATTCCTGAGCCTGCCCTTGCCCAGCTTCCTGGGGCACCCACTCATGCTCTCCAGGTTCAAAAGGTAGAGGCAACAGGTGGATATGAGTTCAGCCCAGAGTCCCAGCGTAAGGCCTTTCAAAACCACAAGAGGCCTTTAGATACCGTGGATTCACCCCCACTTCCAAAACGGCTGCGAAGAGAAGCCCCTCAGAAAACAGTGTTCCTCAAGGAAAAAGAGGAAGAGAAGCCAGCTCAGGAAGAGGTGAGGAGAAGGCTGGGGCCGCGAGCTGGGAACGGGCTAGGGGCTCATAAGTTCCCACCAGGATCCTTCTCATTCCCAGGATGTGGTAATGCCAGGACCAGGCAAGAGAAAGAAAGACCAGGCTGAGGAAGAGCCCAAAGGAATGCCAGTCCGCAGCCTCCGACGGGCCAAACCTGACCATGAGTCTGCAGCCCCTAAAGTAGGCGAGAAGAGGACTGGGGCTTCAAGGGAGCAGATGTGGGGGCGGGAGGAGACGGGCCTTGGGAGACAGGCTCTGGTGCAAGGCTTGTGTGGCCAATTAGGCCCATGCCCTTCACAGGTGCTCTTCACAGGAGTGGTGGATGCCCGTGGAGAGCAGGCAGTGCTGACCCTCGGAGGGAGTCTGGCCAGCTCAGTGGCAGAGGCATCCCACCTGGTGACTGATCGAATCTGCCGGACAGTCAAGTTCCTGTGTGCCCTAGGGCGGGGGATCCCTATCCTCTCCCTGGACTGGCTGTACCAGGTGAGAGAGAGGCCAGAGATGGGGGCAGACCAATAGAGAAAGTGGCGGGAGGAAGAGGGGTGCAGGAAGACCAGGGTGAATGAGTGGAAGCCTCTTCAGAAACGCTTTGTGAGCCCCTGTAACTGCTAGGCAGCAGAGCTGGTGACGACAGGCCTGGGCTTTGATTCTGACTGTGCCACCCTTAGTCCCGCAAGGCCGGTTGCTTCTTGTCCCCGGATGAATATGTGGTGACTGATCCTGAGCAGGAAAGGAACTTTGGCTTCAGCCTCCGTGATTCCCTGAGCCAGGCTCGTGCGCGAAGGCTGCTAGAGGTGAGGGACTCTTCCTCTGCATGCTCTAGCCCTCCCTCCAGAAGTTTCCCGCAGTGCATGGCCTCAGCGCAGCTCTCCACCGTCTCCACCATGTCCTTCCTTCTAGGGCTATGAGATTCATGTGACCCCCGGAGTCCAGCCACCACCACCTCAGATGGGAGAGATCATCCGCTGCTGTGGAGGCACTGTCCTACCCAGCATGCCCAGGTCCTACAAGGTATGGGGGTCTGAGCAGTTGCAGATTGGAGCACTGTAGTGAGAGGGTTGGGGGAAGACCTATGGTACAGAAAGGAGCCCAGCCAGTGTGGCTCAGTGGTTGAGCATTGACCTATAAACCAGGAGGTCACGGTTCAATTCCCGGTCAGGGCATATTTCCTGGGTTGCAGGCTCAGTCCCCAGTATGGCGCATACAGGAGGCAGCCAATCGATGATTCTCATCATTGATGTTTCTATTTTTCCCTCTCCCTTCCTCTCTGAAATCAATAATACTTTTTTTTTTTTTTTAAAGAAGGCAGTATATAGGAATGGCAGAGGAGCTCTGCTGATACCAACTGGAATTTGTTTTTTGGGTTTTTTTTTTTTAATTTATTGATTTTTTACAGATAGGAAGAGAGAGGGATAGAGAGTTAGAAACATCAATGAGAGAGAATCATCAATCAGCTGCCTCTTGCACACCCTCTACTGGGGATGTGCCCGCAACCAAGGTACATGCCCTTGACCGGAATCGAACCTGGGACCCTTCAGTCCACAGGCTGACACTCTATCCACTGAGCCAAACCGGTTTCGGCTGGAATTTGTTTTAATTTGCACTTTATTTTTTAAATTATCTTTTTATTGATTTTTCTTTTTTAATTTTTTATAATTTCCTGGAGTAGTGCAATAGCTTATTTTTTTTAGAGCGAATCATCAATTGGCTGCCTCCTGCACGCCCCACACTGGGGATTGAGCCAGCATGTGCCCTGACCAGGAATTGAATAGGTCAACGCTCAGGTCAATGATCAACCACTGAGCCACATCAGCCCAGCCTTTTTTTTTTTTTTTTTTTTTTTATTCCTCACTGGAGGCTATTTTTCCATTGAGTGGAAGGAGGGAGGTGGGGAGAGAGAGAGAGAGAAACATTGATGACACATCAATCGGTTGCCTCCTGAATGAACCCCAACCAGGGCCAGGGATTGAACCACAACCAATGTACGTGCCCTTGACTGGGAATCAAACCTGAGACTCTTTGGTCCTCCGGCCGACGCTCTGCCTTTTATGCCATTGACTTCCTGCAGGAAGTAGGTCAGTTGTCCTTTAGAAGGTTCCTCAGGCTGGATTCTTCTGTTTGCTGCCTGGTTGTACCACTCACCTTAGTCTCTATCTTCTATAGCTCATGTAAGCTATAATTCGTTTTAAAAGCTTGAATAAATTCAGCTGCCACATTTCTGGCAAGAGCACGTCTCAGACAACGTAGTATACTTCATGTGGCATCGTGTCCCGAGCGCCTGTCTTGGTGATGCCTGGACTGCTGAGTGGTCCTAGCCCTACTTCAGGGCTCTTGTCCCTGACTCTCTGCCTCTGCTCTCTGTCCTCCCAGCCTCGCAGAGTCGTGATCACATGCTCCCAGGACGCCCCGCGATGCACCATACCATTTCGGGTTGGGCTGCCCATCGTCTCACCTGAGTTCCTGCTGACAGGAGTGCTGAAACAGGAAGCCAACCCAGAGGCCTTTGTTCTCTCCACTTAGGAAATGTCCTGCCCCTGAAAATCCCACCCAGTACCCTCTTTCTTCCCAGACCAATAAACAGAAAATATTGGGAGAAAGAACTTAGGGCTTAGGAAGGATTGGGGTGTACTGATCTGATTTGTCTGGAAACAAGGGTGGGGTTGAAAGGTTTATGGGAAAACAAAGATAGGGAGATTGGGAGCCACAGATTTTCTTAAATGGCCGTTTAAAGTTGCTCAGATAACCTAAGTGTCGCTCATCTTTAAGTGGTCTGATGCACTTGCTGTGCAGTGTCCTGCCTCCCATTTGGAAGCCAGCTCACTTTTTCTTTGTTATTGGAATTCTTCCTTATCCTCCAAAGCATAGTGGAAATAATGTCAGTGCCAGAAACTTGAAGGGATGCTTGGAGTAAGTAAGCTTGGAGTGAGTTGGAGTTATGGAATGGCTACGAAAATACTTACCTCTCTCCTGGCCCTGTCTTGTTAGAAGATCCTTTAGCTTGGACTTTGAGCAAGTCTCTGCACTTTTTCAGGCCTGCTTTTCCAGTATTTATCAAATTAGAGCTTAGGCTTAAACTTTATGATAAATAAATAATCACTCTGTGCCTTATGGTGTAGTGCAGTTTTTTGTTTTTGTTTCTTATCCTCACCCAAGGATGTGTGTTTCTGTTGGTTTGAGAGAGAGAAAAAACATCAATGTGAGAGAGAAACATTGATCTGTACATCCCAACCTGGGGGTAGGGGGGGTGTGAACCCACAACCTTTTGGTGTATAAGACAGCACTCCAACCAACTGAGCCATCTGGCCAGGGTAGGGCAGTTGTTATTTTTTTAATATGGCAGTCCTTAAATTTAAGTTTAAAAAGTTGAGTACAAGGATATGGAGAAATTGGAACCTTTATACATTGCTGGCAGGAAAATAGAATGGTTCAGCCATTGTGGTAAACAGTTTGATGGTTTCTCAAAAAGTTAAACATATAATTGCCAAATGACCCGGCAATCTCACTTGTAGGTATATACCTGAATTAAAATAGATGTTCACAAATACTTGTACACAAATGTTCATATAAACTCTTTTCATAAGAGCCAAAAAATAAAAACATGTTTCAAATTGTGGCATACCCATACAATGGATTATTATTCAGCTATGAAAAAAATGAAATACTGCCGAAACCAGTTTGGCTCAGTGGATAGAGCATCGGCCTGCGGACTAAAAGGTCCCGGGTTCGATTCCGGTCAAGGGCACATACCTTGATTTCGGGCACATCCCCAGTGGAGGGTGTGCGGGAGGCAGCTGGTCAATGTTTCTCATTGATGTTTCTAATTCAATTCCTCTCTGTGTAAAACCAATTAAATATATTAAATAAATAAATGAATGAAATACTGATTTATACCATAGTACTTTGAGGATGAATCTTCAAAGCATGCTATGCAAAAGAAGCCCGACAAAAGGTTACATTGTCTGATTCCACTTAGAAAATACCCAGAATAGCCGGGACCGGTTTGGATCAATGGATAGAGCATTGGCTTGGAGACTGAAGGGTCCTGGGTTCGATTCCTGTCAAGGGCATGTACCTTGGTTGCGGGCATATCCCCAGTAGGGGGTGTGCAAGAGGCAACTGATGGATGACTTTCTCTCATTGATGTTTCTATCTCTCCCTTCCTCTCTGTACAAAATCAATAAAATATATTAAAAAAAAAAAAAAAAGAAAAGAAAAGAAAGAAAGAAAATACCCAGAATAGATAGATCTATGGAGATAAATAGTAGATTGGTGGTATCTGGCCAGTGTGGCTTAGTGGTTGAGCATCAGCCTATGAACAAGTTCAATTCCTGGTCAGGGCACATGCCCAGGTTGCAGGCTCAATTCCCGGTGTGGGGTGTTCAGTAGGCAGCTGACCAATAATTCTCTTCATTGATGTTTCTATCTCTCCCTCTCTGAAATCAATAAAAATAATGTGTTTTTTAAAAAAGAGTAGATTGGTGGTTGCAGGGACTGAAGGCGGGGAGATGGAGAGTGACTGCTCGTGGCCACCAGGCTTACGCGGCGTGGTGAGCATGCTTGGGAATTAGTTGGGGTGCATGTTGTGAATGTACTAAATGCTGTTGGCTTGTTCTCTAAAATGGTTAATTTTGTGTGAATTTCACGTCAGTAAAAAAATTGATTAGTTTTGTGCAATTTTCTGCAAGTAAGTTTACTTAAGTTTGGAAAACTTTGGTATAGTAGAAATAGCATAAGCTTTGCTGAACACTGTGCTGGCTTTTACACAGACCCGATCTCTTACTGTGATATATTGAGCACGGCTGTAGTCGGAGTGGTACATGGAGGATCCAAATAAATGTTAGTCCCATTGCACAGCTCAAAGCCTCTGTGAAACTGTTCTCGGGTGCAGGGGAGTCCTCTCTGTCGCCCCACTTAGCATTCCCACTTCATTAAGTGCCTCCGTTTAAAATTTAGACTATCTTGGATTTTGTTGATCCAAGATGGCTGCTCGGGTAGACACCTAACCGCAGCAGCAGCACACAACAATTTCAATGGAATACAACTAAAATGTAGAGTGGACATCGCCCAGAGCTACAGGTAGTCGACTGACTGAAAATTCTACAACAAGAAGGAAAGAGAAAACCAGAAGGAAAATCAGAGGAGCTGAAAAAAAGCCTAAGGTACGGAGACATGCTGCGCGCCCGCACGCACGCGCGCGGAGAGGTCGCAGCCGGAGAGGAGGAGAGGGCTGGGGGCCTGCCTGGCGTTCCCTAGCAGGAAGGAAATAAAACCCCTGGCCTGGGCTGAACCCCCGAACCGGCAGCGCTGAGCCCAAGTTATGGGCCAGACCCGGGGGACCCAGGCTCAGGCAGGACTGTGAGGCGGAATCCCAGGGGAGCAGCGAAAAGCAGGGCCCCCGGAGTCGCGCGCACATTGCGCACAGAGGACTGAATGTTGACTCTGATGCTGGATTACCCTAGCCGGAAGAAACAAAGCCTCCGGCGGCGCTGAGCCTCAGTCCGGACTGCTCTGAACCCCAGTTCTAGGCCAATCCCTGGGGACCCAGGCTTAAGCAGAGGGAGACGGGGCTGTGAGGTGGAGTCCTGGGAGAACGGCAAAAGGCCGAGCCCCCGGCATTGCACACATTGCGCTCAAGGGAAGGAATGTTGACTCTGATGCGGGATTGCCCTGGAGGGAAGGAAACAGGAGCCCCGGCCGTGTTGGGCCCCAGTTTCAACTGCTCTTAACCCCAGTCCTAGGCCAGACCCTGGGGACCCAGGCTCAGGCAGGGGGAGACGGGGCTGTGAGGCGGAATCCCAGGGGAGCGACGAAAAGCGGAGCCCCCAGAGTCGCGCACACTGCGCACAGAGGACAGTCTGTTGACCCTAATCCTAGACTCCCCTAGCAGGAAGGAGAAAAAAAAGCTCCAGACTGGAGGAACGCGACAAGGAACAGGAGCCCCTGCCTGACACCGGCCAGCCGGGCACCAGCAAGGAGCTGGGAGACAGGGCCCCCAGGGGGGGCGTGCCCCTGAGCCTTCGACCGCTGAGTGCGGGCAACGGAGCCAAGGCTGCGGGCTGCTTCCTGGGCAGCGCCGACCCCGGCAACAGGCTGAAGCAACGCAGGAGCCCGCGGAGAACAAAGGGGTGCCACAGGCCAACCTGCTGAGCTCCCAGGACAAGGAGTAAGAAACCAAAGAAGTTCTCAATGTGAAGAAATCAAGTGAGAGCAAAAGATAGTAAAATTACTTAAGAAAGAATACAAAGAAGATCTTGAAAAATCAAAGACTAAGTCAGAACTCAACTCACCAGCCAACATTGCAACATAAATGCGTGTTTGTTTTTTTTTAAACAAAAAAAAAAAAAAAAACAGAATGTTGGAACAGCGGCGGCCAGGCCTAGAGTGGCCAGGCACAAGGCAGTGGCAGCCGGGCCTGGAGCAGCAACGGCCAGGCCCCAGAGCAGCAGCAGCCAGAACCAGAGCATCAACAGCCAGCACTGGAGCAGCCAGACCTGGGGCAATGGCAGCCAGGCCTGAGGCGGAGGCGGCCAAGCCCAGGGTGGCCAGTCCAGGAACACCCAGACCCGGAGTGGCCGGGTTGGGAGCAGCCAGGGCCAGAACAGCAGTAGCCAAGCCCGGAGCATCCAGGCCTGGAGCGGCCAGGCTCGGAGCGGCCAGGCCCAGAGCAGCCGGGTCAGGTGCGGCCAGGCCTGGAGCAGCGGCTGCCAGGCTGGGAGCGGCCAGGCCCAGAGCAGCGGCTGCCAGGCTGTGAGCAGCCAGGCCCGGAGCGGCCGGGTCCTGTGCGGCCAGGCCCGGAGCAGCAGCAGCCAAGTCCAGAGCAACTAGGTCGGGAGCAGCAGTGACCAGACCCGGAGCAGCTGGTTGTGGAACGGACCAGAGCAACAGAGGCCAGGCCCGGAGCAGCCAGGCCTGGAACAGCTTGCTCCTCGCCTGCCCCTGCCCCATGGCTGCCTCTCAGACATGGCTGGAAACTTTTGTGGGAACTTGAGGGTCTGCTGAATCAAGTGATGAAGGCTTAGATCTGGATGTGTTGAGTTAGTATAGCGCTGGGGTGTTGATCTGTGAGTGCCTTGGGTGGGGCCTGGATGAGGTTGCTTGACCTATTTGGAAATGTCTTTTGTGTGAAGTGTATCATTGGGCATGTGGAGGTATTATTGATATGACAAAATGCTAAGTAACTGATTTACTATCTGAAAAGGGATTTACTATTGGGGAAAGGGAAGGAGGAAGAGACTGAACATAAACTGTGCACCTATGGATGAGGACAATGGGGGGTGGGGGAGGGGCAGAGGTTGGGGTGGGAACCTGGTGGAGGGGGGAAGAAATGAGGAACCTTTGTAATAATATGAACAATAAAGATTGATTTTTAAAAAATAAAAAAAATAAAAATATTAAAAAAAATAAAATAAAATTTAGAGGATCTTAAACTTCAGTGAATCCTACAACTTGTAGCACATTGTGTAATGTGTCTATTGGTCAAAGTGACAATTACAAAGACCTAGGCAGAGATTAGAGAAATCACAAAGAAGAATGCAGTGCCCAGCCGAAACTGGTTTGGCCCCATGGATAGAGCGTCAGCCTGAGGACTGAAAGGTCCCAGGTTCGATTCAGGTCAAGGGCATGTACCTTGGTTGCGGGCACATCCCCGGTGGGGGGGCGGGAGGAGGGTGCAGGAAGCAGTTGGTTGATGTTTCTCATCGATGTTTCTAACTCTATCCTTCTCCCTCTTTAAAAAAATCAATAAAATATATTTTTTAAAAAGGGCCCTAGCCAGTTTGGCTCAATGGATGGATCGTCGGCCTGCAGGCTGAAGGGTTCTGGGTTCGATTCTTGTCAAGGGCACATGCCCTGGTTGCAGGCTCAAATCCCCAGTAGAGGCCGTGCAAGAAGCAACCAATCAAGGATTCTGCCTCATATTTCTATTTCTTCCTCTCCCTCTGAAATCAATAAAAATATATTTAAATTTATATAAAAACAAAAGTGAATGTACAGTAAAAAATGGAAATTTACAGACACTAGAACTTAACGCTGAGAGCGACCGAGGACTGCATGTGGAGGATGGTGTTCTTGTTTGGAAGGGGAGCTCCGTCCATAAAAACGTCAGGTGG